GAGTGTGCTTCTTAGCTCAAGTAGATACATGAGACTAAATGAGCAGCTCCTGTCCGGAGGCAAGATGAGAAGGCAGAGAGGGTCAGGAGCTGGTTGAATGGACACAGGAAATCCAGGGTGGAAAGGAGGAGTGTGCTGTCACCGTATAGGGAGAGCAACTAGGGTCACCTAACTATGTATAAATTTTTGCATGAGACTAACTTGCATTGTAAACTTTCACTTAAAGCACAATAAAAAAAAAGTCAACATCTGCTTAAATAAATTATGGCATGTGCATACAAAGATATAGTATGCCACTATTTTTAAAAATGAGATAAATCTATATGTACTAATATATAAATATATCTAGGATATAGTTAAGTGAAAAAAAACATGGTCAATATCAACCCATTTGTAGAAAAAAAAAGATACACACATATGTATGTTTCTATATGTATAGAAAATTTCTGGGGAAAAAAAACTGTTATAAGTGGGTACTCAGAATAGACAGAACTTTTCATTTTATACCTTTAAGTACAGTTTGAATGTTTTACCCAAAGAATACATTATAATAATAACAATATTCAAACATCAAAACATATGTATTTTGTTTCCCTAACCCCCTCCAAAACTCTAACTCCTCCACCTCCAAAAAAATCTTCATCTAATTACAACAGTGTACTTGGCAGGAGAAACAGTTGTTAGTTGTGGACCAAATAAATCTTGGTAATTAAGAATAACCAATTTACCATGATATATGCTTATCTGCTTCCTTTCTTGGTTACATATCAAAATGGCTAATTTTGCAAGCAACTGAGATAGAAGAAAAAATTTCCTAACTGGATGCTTATAGGATATTTACATACTTCTTTTCAGAATTCTATTCTTTGTGTAGTTCTTTGTTTCACATTTGCCTACATCTTAGATTATAAGCTCCCTGAGAGCAGGGGTTCTGAGATACAAAAGGCACAGTGCCTATTTCATAGTGGATATAAATTAAATGTTTGTCAAATGAATATAAAATAGATTGCTGCCACTGAGAAGTGATGTGTTGCCCTTGGAAACAAAGATGACTCTCCAGCATCTGTGTGCCATGTGTATTTTCAGTGGGGGGATGGATCTATGCCAGTTCTCCATGCAAACTTCTGGTTCACAAGGTTATAGTTTTGGCTGGCCTGACTTAAAGGTGCAGTGTCTGAATACAAATAGATACGCTTACCTAAGGACTGAACCCAGAATGGGTTGACTTTAACCAAGTTCATCATTTAAAGTATGTACATGCATTAGGCCTAGAGTATTAGCAACAGTGGCTGGGAACCCAGGAGTCATCTGTTCTAGTCCCTGCTCTATCACTAACTGTTGTGTGGCCTTAAACAAGTAAGTCATTTGCCTACTTATCTATAAAATGAGGAGCTGGAATTAGATAACCTCTAAGATCATT